AAACGTACTTTGCATAAGGTGTTTGTTGACAAATCATCAAACACTTGCTTTGAAATGAATACCCAAAGAGGTCGACTTATGTTTTGGCACGTAACTGATGAAAGGCTGCATGAAGATATAAATACACATGATGTTACTCCTTGACCATATATATCAACACTATAATTATATATGGGGGGGGGGGGATAAGTTAAAGGATGTGTGTCACTTTAGGGAAGCATGGATAAACGATGCAGGGGCAACCTAAAATTCACGTCTTAGGATAATCCAATGTCATTAAAAATAACATGCTGTAAATTGGGAATTCACCGAAAGCAGAATTTTCCCTAATTAAAGCTAACATGCATGGCAGACATGAAGTCCTCCCCTAACTCTTTTTTAATATGTCTTAATTATAAACGATGGACGTCCTTATTTGCCGATAATGCTTACTTTATAATTCATTTTTCAGCGTGAGCTTTGCTTTCTTTTTTTAAAGATAATTATTAAATATGTTCAGTATTGGTACAATCACAATGATCCGTATAGTTACTTGCCATGATAATGTGCCGTATGAGCTCCAAAATTGAATAAAAGGTAGAAATTTAAACACTGTGTAGATAATTTTGAAGATTATCAATTAATTAATTCTTTTTTCTATAAAGTACACAACGTGTAAGTACATAACGCATAGAAAAAAGGATCATAATCTATGATGTGTTTTTTTTTAGGAATTTAAGTAATTTCATGTAACATAAAGAAATTTACAATCATATCTTGACACGCAACAAAAATGCGTTGTAAGGCCGTTTGAATTCACGTAATATGTAATAACATGCCTTTACAAAATTTCGCTAGATTCTACATATTGTATATAGATTCGATGCTTATTTAGTACTGCTGTAATTGAGCTTTTTGAGCAACATAAGCTTATGATATTAATAACACCTGATTTAACCCTCTCGTAAAATCATTATTGCGTATAATGCTACAAAAGCACGCGCAAATAATACATCGTTTCTTATTATTCAGGAACTCAAAATGGTTGAATAGAATTCATGGAAAAATTAAGGTGATTGACAGCTGTTCCTGATGCAGTTAAATTAGGTTTCATTAGAATCAAATTATTGTGCAGAAGAAAAAGTGTTCCATGAATAATCTCTGTCTCGACTCTCGAAGCTCCATCTCATTCTCTTTTCCTCGTTCTTTCTACGTGCATGAGTCCGCATTCCATTTTGACTCGTTTATTTCTTCATGATAATCTCATTCCCAGTCCTCATCTCTGTTCTTCTCCCGCATCTCTCCCCCCCCCCCCCTCTCTCTCTCTCTCTCTCCCGCTCTCTCGCTCTCTCTATGACTCCTCCCTGCTCCCCTCTCTCACCATCACTCTCCCCCACCTCTTTCTTTCTCACGCACACAGGCAAGAGAGGCATCCACCTATATACACACAACTCCATATCCATACATGAATCATCTTTCCCTCTTCATGCTACTCTCCCTCCCATCTTGTAGACCTACGATCCTCATCATTATGATTATCATCAATTTCATGTTCCCATCGCTTCATTTCTCTCCTCTCTGACGAAGCATACTTCCTTTGTTTTCATCCTTTCTGATCCTGTATGTGGGCGACCTTTTTTTTGAGCGACGTTAAATTGAATAGCAATATGAAGTGCGTTGATCGGCTAGAATAACTGCGCGTCCACTCGACGAATAGGTCTAAGGTTTTATGGGACTACACCAAACTGGTTTCCGGTACGTGAGCAGGGGTTAATGCTTTACCTCCCTCCATCGTTTGTTCTTGAGGAGTTGGACTGAACACGACGGAGCTAATTACCGCCAGGGAACGGGCTGTCACTCCATATAAGTACCCGGTTGGAGATGCGACACATACCAAAACGCTTTCCTTCCGACTTTAAGACGGAGGAGAAGAAGAAAAAAGTGCAAGAATATGCACACTTGCCATTCCCTTGTCCAGAGGAAGTATGTATGGTATGGTTAGGGCTGATTTTATTTTTAACCGAATGTACCTGCTAAAGGTTAATTGATTCGCAAATCTAGGCGTTTGTCCGTTAAATCACATCACGGGCGGAAGAGGATCCTATAGGTTACCAAATAAATAAGGCCGACTCCACGAGGAATAATATATTCGTCGCTGGAGAGGGCGGGTGGGTTGCGAACCCCTCTCCCCCCCCCTATATTCACAATTTCATGTTGGCATTATTTTTAAAGCATTGTCGTCAAATCGCTCTCCCTCCCGATTTTTTGATATTTGTTATTGTTGGTGAAATCATCTAATGAAGGAAGAAATTGAAGATTTGTTTATCGTTCTTCTCTTTATGCTTGATGGAAATTGCGGCTAAAAATAGCCAGAATGGTCCGACACCCCCGCTCAAAATCACTGGACGAGTCACACCCTTAGTGCTACAGTCCATAAATAGGATTACATCAACGATCTCACTGTCATCAGCATTTCTGACATTTTGACCTGTTTTTAAACATGATCATGTTCAGAGTGGTTTGAAGGTTCAAAGGTGCAATGTAATAGGGCATTTGCGTAATGTGACCTTCAGTGCTCTTTTACGAATTATTTAATTCACCTGTTACGAATAATTGTATTTTTAAAATTGCATTTTTTACATGTTGTTAGATAGGCGAGCCACGATGTTTGTTTTATACCTGGCAACTACTAATGTATTCAATTGAATTATGAATATACATTTAATCGTTATAATTATAGGCCTAAGTGAATGACATAATTTGTATCGAGACGCTTCACGAAGGCATATGCGTAATTTTGGTTACATTACTAAAAATGGAACAATGCGAAATATATTAGAAAAAAATAAAGTGAAATAGACTGTTAAATAGACTGTTAAATAGAGGGGAACAGGAAAGGCTGGGATTATTGAATATACATTTCGCCCAAAGAATACAATACCTTGTGACAACGCAGCATATGGATATCGTCGATACTGTTCTACATTTTGCTCAATATAGTTCATGGTCAACTATTCTATGTGCACAAAATGAAAGAAACTGGAATTTGCAAAATGAATTTATCAATTTTTTCATTTAGGGGTAATACAAAGTTTTGGGAAATTTTGGAAATTGGGTGGATACTGATTCTTTACAATGTTGATATATTTGGATGCCCCTGTGGATTTATTATAAGCACTAGAAAATTTAGCCCTTAACCCTAAAAAGGCCGGGCTATTTGAGGTCTTAGTATGGCCGGGGGGCCATTATGGCCCCCCCTTAAGATCTCGGCCGCGAAACGGCCGATCGCCGCGAAAATTTGCACGCATGTCAAGTGAAGTGTATAGAATTATGTGATAATTTCAATTTTTTGAAAAATTCACCCATTTGCATATTTATAGTAATTTATGCAAATAAAGTCATAAAAATCACATTTTTACCCATAAATCATATATTATTCATATTTAAGCATCCTTTTTCACTACATATATTCATTAGACCATTCTGAATAATAGTATGACAAAAAAAATTCGAAGAGCCAGCTTATTCCTTATGTTATCCCTTGTTTTTGTAATTTCTTATGTATTTCATTGTTTTTTTAACTTATGTATTTCATTGTTTTTGTTGTTTTATTTCATTTCTTACTACAATTCAACTATTTTGACTCCAAAAACAACCACCTAAACTTTAAACAAGACCCAATAACCCATGTTTGATCTGTTTTTAGGAAAAATGATTTTCCATATGTTTTGTACACAAATCACGAAAATGAGCGATTTTCGGGCTGACATGCAAAGACAAAAGGTCACGTGACCTTGTAACCGCAGGTACGATTTTCAAAAAAAATCTTTTAAAAGTTGCGCAAGACTCGAAAGAAAAAAGTCAGCGAGCGGAGGGCCGGCGCCATCCTTATGCGTTCCCGAGCAATCGGAAAAATTGTGAAGGGGGGGGGGGCCATAATGGCCTCCCGATAATGGCCCCCCGATCTTATTAGGGTTAAAACACTTCTGCTTTTGAGAAAAATTGAATATAAAGATTTACCGGTGCTCCCGGTAAATGTTGATAAATTTCAAAAAGCGCCTACGGCGGTACACTGGTAGCTGCGACCATGATAATATCAGCGTAGTTATGATATATAATTTCCAAACGGGAATAGCTTATCGGTCGATATTAGTAAAGAAACATTGTTTCATAGTTTAGTTAATATCTTGACTTTGAGAGAGAGCAATACATCATAAAGATGTTATTATTTACAATTTCATAACTTTAGACTCGATTTCATCCGCGACAACGATCACTGAATATCGTAGGATGTTATATGCTTTCAATATGTTCATTTGAACCAAATTTATGATCCCATACCAAAACTTTGTATTATCTTTAAGAGACAGGTTTGTTAAGGTACTTATGTTACATTTGCAGGACAAAAAATGAAAAGGTTAAATTCCAACAGCATTTGAAAGATAAATTTAGAACTTCCCTCACAACGAAAGGGCTTGAAAGTGGCTTTTAGTGGGAAAATAACGACCATTAGTTGTCGAATCGACTTAAGTGATTGCAATCACTTAAGTAATAGTCTGATTTTCAGACCCTTCTACCGAATGGTATTACATTTTGTGCTGCACAAAGATTCAATCAGTTTAATTTTGGCCATTGCAAGTAGTGGGTTATTGATGTTGACAAACGCTCCTGTACCTGTTACAGCTCATTTTATGTATTGTTATTACCAAAGAAACAAAGATGTCAGTCACTCACTCAATAGTGTCTGGCAGTGAAGTCTAGAAGATAAGCGGGTTTCCTTGCATAATTTGAATACTAGGACACTGCTAATGTTTAAATTCCACAGATGGGACATACGTGATATATTTATAATTATTGCAAAGTTCTACTGAATTTGACGTTGGCTGCAAAAGTGACATAGTATCTTAAAGTGTATTAAAATTATGACTTATATGGTTCCATTAAAGGTAGAAAAGCATTTTCTGCCGTTCGTTTAAACGAATGTTGTTAAATGATAATATATTGTCCTTCTTTATTTGCAGACATTTAGGAAAGACTTTTTGCTGGATTCGCTTGAAGGATTCCGACTGACGGTGTGTCCCTTTGACTCAGTCATTGAACAGTTCTCAAAGGAACAACAATTAGAACTTTGGCAGGTAAGGATTTAGGAAATAATATTGTAAAAAAACATTTTCAGTTGCCTTTAAAGGGGATCATTAGACCGGTTTACTAACATATTGAAATTTAGGGGTGTTTCTTTCCTGGGGACCTAGTGACGAGTTACTCCAGTAACATGTTACTAATGAATGAACTACAATACGTTGAATCCAGTCTGCATACATCATTTGTTGCTATGTTGGGCTAGCCTCGGGGAAGCTTTCAGGTTCTCAAGAACCATCTTTGTTTTAAAAATATGCATGAAATTTAAATATGTAAGTAAACCGGTCTATTATAGCAAATAATGATTACCATATTGTTAGCAGACATGAAAGTAGACCCACAAAACAATTTAGACTTTGAAATGGTTGAGGGTTAGAGCGTATACGAGGAAAATATAACTTCCTAACAAGACCTTGCATCACGGAAGCTCCACCATTCTCTCTCTACTCATTATTTTATCCCAAGATGAACTCCCCGAACCATTGAAAATATATTTGTTTGAATTATTCAATCGTAGAATATAATGTAAAATAAACTATAACAAGTAATTTCACTTCTTCCATGCTTATGTTGACTCAAACTTACCCAATATACACCTTTAACGGAGAAAATGGATGATAATTGTAATAAGAAATGTGTTGACTATACATCACAAGGAATGGGAAAAGATACTCGAGAAGAATGTCTCGACATTACACCGGGAGGGGTTGTATAAATGCTTCAATTATTCTTAAATACAGCCTAAGGTGACTTCCTTCTTTTCTACACTTTATTCACATCTCTGGAAGATGAGTGGTAATAAAGACTACATTTAGACATTCAAATTATCATTAACCAGTGAAATCACATTACAAATGCGTCAGGCAGCATCATGACACAGAAAGTAAACAATTTGATTCAATTATTCTCCCTCAAATTGAAATTTGGAGATAAATGTCACGAGTTTTTTTTCCTGAGATAAAGAAAACTAGATTTCACGCATGACGGAAAGACGTTTAGCAATGTTATTGAGCATATTTGAATAAGTATCGTCCTACTATCATGGAGAAAGGACAATATAATCCGGCGTACTGCCGGCCTATCATACTTAATCATATTTATCAACACACAGGAAGAGGTGTTATAAAATAGTAACATCGACTTTTGTCCTTCGTCTATAACTTGAATCATAAAATTACCATTATGACGACTGTCTCAATTATGGAGTATATGGAGTGTTGGAGAGAGGGAAAGAGAAAGATAGGAAACACATTAAACTTCTAACATTGAACAATGGTTTGTTTTTTTAATCGTGAGAGTAGATATGTTTGCTACGAATAAGAGCTAGAATTAATTACCACCCAATAAATAATTGCTGCGATCATGATGATTACATTTAAAGGGATTGGGTATCTTTGTCTCAGATTCTGAAACAAAATCCTGGATTTAGCTCATGCTGCAATCATAACTATAAACGTTTAGGTCAGTCGGGAACCCCGTGACTTTTACAAGCCAAACGCCTGTCTGATTATCAAGATCTTTATGACTGGAAATCAAAATTTAAAAATTCGTTTTCCTAACGGTTTTTATAACACCACAGTCTATTGGGAAAAATTAGTATGGTAAAACCTGTCACTCAAAGATTTTTACTTTCTTGAAGCACTTCATGATCACTTTAAAGCGCAATTTTGTTTCGGGCTTCCAATATTACACCATATCACGAACATAACACGTAGGGCCATGAATCTCAGATTTAACATTGTTAAACGATGCCTTCAAAGGTTAAGAGCATGAAGAACTAGATAAAGAAAAACGTTTGTAATATAAGAAAAACTATGAGGTTTTACAAATATACTGTGGATGCGTCATACACTCAAAAGTGCATCAGGTAGCTATATAATGGTTGTTGAAAAATGTACAGTTGCTCTCAAGTCAACACCAGTAAACACTTGGAATTGATGACTGATTAAAGCGAACTTCTTCTGTTTCGAAAACGGACTATCATATTACGCAATACGTTACGACAATATCCTCGTCTGTCTACGTTAATTGTTGTGAGGTAAACAAAATTATTAGTCCGTTCACAATCTATCAGGTCGCTTGATTGTAATTCATGATATTGATGCGTTTGTCGTGTATTTTAAGAAAGAATGGATGGTGTCACAGTTTCCCAGAATATATATAAATACCGCAAAAAATACAGATGCAATGCATTTCAGTTGAAAAATGTTAAGTGTTATCAGACGTATCTTGCCTGTTTCTACTTTCATAACACCATGAGCCTAGAAGGGCCTACCTATAGCAGGTCCGTTATTACATCAAGATACCTTGGTAATGTATAATTGTTGCCATGTTTAGGTAAATCTAAATTTTAAAGTGAATATAACATTCTTGAAGTATTATTTACGTTAGGACGATCTGTCGAGCGCCTTCCGACACTTCTTTCAACTTGTCTTCTGAGCATCATCCTTCAGTTATCGGTCCGCTGTGGCTTAAATCTCTCTAATCTCTTTACAAATGTCTTCACATCTTCTGGGAATAAGCATAAACTTTTTTAAAGACAATTTTAATTTTTTTTTGTTTTTACTCAATAGTTTTCTTATAGGGGGACCGCCCCCAGAAAAATCTAACTTAGGATATGCACGATATAGAAACGAAGAATATGCTTCAAAGCACCCTCAAAAGACAAAATAGCTGATATCGTACTTATCTTTTAAGGTTTAAGCTAGTGACATGATGGAGTTTAAGAATCGCAATTTTGTCATTCACTTTCACGATTCTGTAAACTTTCGTCAATGTTGCTGTTGATATAAATCACATTCTACGTTTTTTTTGAATAATTAAAAAGCAGTAATGTTTCCAGTGTGAAGATGAAAACTCGATCAGTTAAGCACCTGAAAAATCCAATTTCTAAATGAGGAAATGGAAACTTCTTCTTTTTTCTTTTGAAATAGGATTGTCATACCATTAGTTCTACTATATTTTCACTAATTGCTGAGAAAGCAATTATTACTATCTTTAAGATAATGGCTTGGATAATGGTGATAATGGAATAGTAGTATTAGTATAGTAAATGCAGGACAATGTAAATGATTATCATGCGTCTGCTGAAGATACGAACAAAAATAAAACAAATTAGGATGAATGAGAAGGTAATTAATATCTAGATGCGTGGTTTTCTCACAGACGTGATGTAAAACAAAAAGGCATATACATTTTTGTATACCGTTATTACATCGTCGCAATTTCCTTGGCAATTACATGTCTATTCAAATTTTTGTTTAATATAATAATAATAATAAAAATAATAAAAAAAATAAAAATAATAATAATAATAATAATAATATTAATAATAATAATAATAATAATAATAATACTAATACTAATACTAATACTACTACTACTACTACTACTACTACTACTACTACTACTACTACTACTACTACTACTACTACTACTACTACTAATAATAATAATACATTTATATAGCGCAGCTTTTATATGCGGTAAATACCGTTATTTGGTTGGAACCATGATGGAAAAAGATACCCAGACAGAGTGAAGGAGGGAGAGAGGGGGAAGGAAGGGGGAGGGGATAGAGAGATAAAGAGAGATAGAGAGAGAGAGAGAGAGACAGACAGACAAGAGCACAGATAGACGACAATAAAACGAGTTTCCGTTTTCACCGTTTTCAAGATGAACAGCACATGTACGTATATAATGAGACAATGATGCAAACAATTTAAGAACATGACTGCAATCATAGCCAGGAAATGAGGCATATTTAGAGCAAAGGGCATCCTTAAATTACCATGTATCCAATTGAGGAGCCGACTAGGAACTATGGCAGGCAAATAAAGTACCACACAAAGGATGTGCAGAGATGATATTGTGCTCTTCATAAAAAAGAATGGGTAGATGATATTTTACTCTTTGTGACGTACTTCGATATGCTATTTCTTCAATAATTGTATCTCTATTGCATTTCAACTCATAATCATAGGAAACTTCGCGAAAAAGCACTCTACAGCTACACAATTGCGATTTATAATGAAATAATTCATTTTGGTATCATTCTCCATTATATACTACGCACACTCTTTCTAGGCCTAACATGGAAATGCTGCCAGACGAATCTTATCATTGAACTTGCATTTGCACTAGTGTGATTATCTATTGTCCTTTTTTCTATATAAATTGCTCATGACGATTTTACTTATCTTTTCCATAGAAAGCGTCTGACTTAATATGTCTGAGACAATGATGCAAACAATTTAAGAACATGACTTTGAACATGTTCAAAGAAATGAAGGAACGCTTCCACGTGTTTAGAACATTGTACTTCTTTCACCTACATAATATTCGCTGAAAACCCGTTTCTTAGGGGGTTATTAAACTTTGAGCATTCGTCTTTAAAGTTCTTTGTTCTCATAAACTAGTTCATGAGAAATTTGCGTCAAATCTAGGTTATTTGTTTGTGATATGAAGACAACCCAGACAGCGTGGACATAACACCTGGATACAATCTAGTTGAAAGCAGATTGAAAGCCGTGATTAATTAGATATAAAACAATTTCAACGTGACAAAGAAATGCATAATCAGTTGTCATGTGACACTGAAGAGATTAATGGTTAGATACAAGATATATAACAAAAGAAACAAAAAAGAACGTACTGTGTGTAAACAAAAAGAGAGATCAGGAAAGGGATATAGATGGCGGCGAATTTTGTTTGGGTGAAGTAGTGCGGAAAACATATGGATGGAAGATGTGGGGGAACAGGGAAAGGGAGTGGACCTTGTAACATGAAATTAGGAATGGGAACCTGGGGGGGGGGGGGGGAGGGTGTTTCACAAAGACTAAGATCGACTTTAAGTTGGACTTAACTATGGCAGGCCATTCATGCCACTGTTTGCTCTCACCATTGACTGGCATTGGTCTCTCAAAAGACGTACAAATCATGGTCACAAATCTACAAAATTTACATTTTTGGATAATTCATTATTGAATAAAAATGT